CCCCAAAACCCCAAAACCCCAAAACCCCTATAAAAAGAACTCGCACTGAAATATAATAAATGTGTAGAAAATTTGAAGATTTTTGTACTGAGTGGAAGATTTTTAGTAGTTGGAGATTTTATTGGGCGGTAATTGTGCCGACTAATTTTGTGGCGATTGGGATGGTGGGGTGGAGAGGGATGGAGAGTGAGGGGGAAGCATGGATGTATGGGATCTTTTATGTTTATCTTATCCTATCGACCTTTGGCCTTCAGACTATATTAAGCGTGTGCTCATCAGAGTTTATTGATGAAGATGCTGATAACAAAATCGCCTGGGTATTTATCATTTTTGCAGGTAAGAATTCTCAAAACTTAGATATAGCTCTGAACCCAATAGTTATTTGGTTTGCCTTATTCTCAGAAGAGTTATTCCCATGAGGATTCAAGCAGAAAATAGGAGCAGTTATAACATTCGCACCATATGTGTTTATCATGATATTTTTGTTGATAATTCCCATCTTGTTAAACAATGATTTGGGATGGCTATTTTGGGTCTCTTATGTTCTAATCAATCTGATGGTTGTTAATTGTTTCTTATTGTTCTTATTTATGGAAGCGATGGAAGATGGAGGTACCCTCAACATCCCTCTTATGGTCCTAAACCCCATTACCTTCTTTCTCCTTCTGTTCTTTCTACTGCTCTTCCTTCTTAAGTCCTTAAGCTGGTGCTTGTGTAGTGGGAATTCTGAGAAAATGGATAAGGATGATATTGTTATCAAAAATGTTAATCAAGCAGCTTGTAATGAATTTAAAGAATGAGTGATATGTTTGGATAGTATTGAAGGTCAAGTATCTATTTGTCTGGTTGATTGTGGCCATCGATACCATCAAGAGTGAATTAACAAATGGATAGAAAAAGACGATAACTGTCCCATTTGAAGAAGAAAAATTATTAAACATCTAACAGTTGAGAATGCTTATTTAGATCCTCTGCCTTGCTAGGATCCGATTTTTCATTAATATATTTCTGTGAATTATGCTATTAACTAATATTTTTGCTTTTTTGTTAATGCATGAAGCTGATCCACTTTTTTATACTGAAATATCAAGATTAAATCTTCTCAAGAAAGTAATTTTACATGGGGTTTTGGGGTTTTGGGGTTTTGGGG